ACTCATTTTTCATGACCTCAATTTATTTTTATACCCTATTCCAAAAGAATTCAAAAATATAAATTTACCAAAACTTTAATATCTTATTTTCAATTAAATATATATAAACCCACTATTTTCCTTAAAGGAAACTAAAATGGTTTTTGAAATCGAGATCGGTTCAAACCTATCTTCCTGTTTGATCGAGTTGCAAAAGCTTTTTTTCTGTTTCACACTACTATATTTCGCATTTATTATAATTTCTTTCAATAAACGACCTTTTAATCAGTCCAAGACCAATTAGACTTTTCTTTACACAATTTTCTTTCAAGGTTTTAAAGATGAGAGAGCTCCAAACTGTGTTTTGTTTAAGAATTCATTTCTTTTACTTGATACTAACTCTCACTAGACTGACTATCGACTGACTGACCAATTTAGATGCCAAGAACCAAACCAGGATTTTATGCTATACGAAAAGGACGTAAAACAGGAATATATTTAACTTGGGATGAATGCAAAGCGCAAGTTAATAAATTTCGCAATGCTATGTATAAAAAATTCCCTACTCGTACCGAAGCTCAAAATTTTATTGAAGGAAAACATGAAGTTTCTGTAATTTTAAATGATAATAAAATTCAGATTTTGATAGATGGATCATTGTTTAATAACGCTAAACTTGGATCATTACAAGAAGCGATAGAAGAAAATTTTAAATCAGAAACTTATTCTAAACATATTACTGATTATTTTAACAAAAAATAAATATTTATTAAAATTTGATATTTATAATAAAAATTGAATTTCAAAAATGAGATTGATTAGAAACAATTTAACTTGTTTGAATTGTTTATCATCAAATCGTGGCATTCGAAATTCTTACACTCACCTCTGAAAAGAGAGGGAGAGAGAGAGAGAGACTAATAGTCAGTCCAATTTTTTGTTTGAGACGTTCCACTGGTTCAATAAATACATAAAGGATACATACCGGGATCTCTTTATTATCCCGATATCTATCCTTTATTTATCCTCTTTTAACCTGATTTGCTACAATTATTTGGCGAATCTATGGTAACATAAAGGATGAATACCGGTATAACATAAAAGTTTATGAATTAGAACAAAGAATACGCGCTTTAAATTTTGATAAAAATGAATTGATTCATAGAGTTGAAGA